AGGTAATTTCATGCAAGCAAAGATTTATTATAGGAAGATAATATAGCCAGAGGAGATGGAGAGGGCTCCAGGCAACACTAACCCCATCTCCTCTGGCCAGATTGTCTTCCTGTAATAAATCTTTGCTGTCACAAAATTCTCTCCGGTCTCTTCTGGTCATTTCTTGGTCGGTAGAAGACAAGGACCCTGCTTTGGTGGGTTGGGGTCTTTCCCTGAGACTCCAAAAATTGCATCAGCTATAGCATTCCCATTTTCAGCAGCAAACTGAAAGGATAACATGCAACGGAAGGTTTGTGCCCCCTGAGCAAGCTGTATCACTAAGAAGCATTTATTCCTCTGGAGCATTCAGATAACAGTCCACATACAAGAAAAATTTGACACCAAAGAACTTAACCACAGTTTCAAAAGCCCATAGCCGAATTCTATCACAGATACCAGAACTGGGGGAGAAAAAAAAAAACTGGAATGCCCTCAAGTATATGGTGGGAAGTCAGCAAATCCAAGGAAGGGAGACAATAGAATGGGGAACACACAGTCCTAGGAAGTGCTGGGAGCACATCCATGACTACTAGGTGGGACTGCTAACCTACCAGGGTTTTCCTCCTACCAAATCCCACCTGCTCACCATTGGCAGGGGTCCCAAGGGTGGAGGTGACACACAGTGGGGTGTTCAGAGAGCCCTGTGTAGTAGCCCAATTACCCCTCCTCATAGGGTAGGCACATTCCTCTACATGTCACTGCTAATGACTGTACTGTGAGTTCTGGGGCTCAGGTGTAAGGGGTCTAAAGCCACACGCTCAGCCCAAGCCTGCTTCCCAACAGAAGCGCACCTGCTCCTGTGCCCTCCACACAGCCCTCTTCACAAGGGCAGGGTGCTCCTCCTCCATCTCTATCCCTAAGCCCAATCAGAGCAGCCAAGCTGCACAGGAAGAACCTCTTACAGGAACAAGGGACTAGTGGAGGGCGGGGCAAGAGCCGAGGCAGAGCCATGTGAGACTGCGGCTTGAGGAAGAACACAGAACTTCATGGCCAGCACAGCCATTAGATGGGGAGAGGGGCCTTAGAGGGCTCCTCTTCTGAACTATGCCTCGATCTTCAACCAATGAGCCAGTAGGTCTGCACACCCCAGTTCTTCAAGAGAAGCACAGCAGGGAGAAGCCTGAGGGCCACCACAGGAAGAACCACAGCCAGCAGCAACTGGGATGCTGCCTGCCTGCAGGCTCCACCAGAGGACACTGTGCATCAGAATTGAACCACACCACTCACCTGCACAGCCTCCTCCTGTGACTTCTGGGCCCCAGCCACATTCACGTCTTTAAGCTCCTGCAGGGCCATCTGGTGCTGCTGTTCCAAGGAATATGAGCTCTTCTCTTCCTCCAGCAGGCGCCGCTGAGCATGCAGAGCTGCAGCCAGCTCCTCCTACGAGACAGCATCCACGGGGTAACCACATCTGCAACTCACACTCAGTTTACCACACACACTGCTCGCACATCTGCCACTCGCATTGTGGTTCACTACACACACTCCTCACACATTCACCCCACCACACACTCCTCACCACCACATCTACAGGGTAATAAACATTCCACACACTTCCTAGTATCAAGTTCTGACAATACTATAATTAACTATGACTTAAAATGGAGTCCTGGCAGCAGTGTAAGAGAAAAGACTGGCAAACTGTTCCCAAAAAGATTACAGCTTTGGAAACCCTATGGGGCAGGTCTACTCTAGGAGGTCACTACAAATCAGAATCAATTAGATGGCACACAACGGCAGCATGGGTTAAAATACATAGTTTCATGTGCACGTGTTTCTCCCTTCTGAATAGTCTCTTGGTTCATTTACTTTAAATTATACAAAGCAAATCTAATTTGAAGCTGCAGGTTGAGAACAAGTTTTACTCTCTATAGGAATAAGATTAATATGAATAAAAAGAAATGAAGTCAATCATAGGAAGCAAACATATAAGCCCTGTGGCTCCAGAAGCCAGGGCTGGCTGGTGCCTCCTCTCAGCATCAGAAGGGATTTCTCTACTTTTAGTCCAAGATGAGCAACACAAGGAGAGACAAGACACTGTGACTCTACCACCAGTATTTGTCTTGATGGCCTTGGTGAACATAAAACACAACATAAACTTCACAATGGATGATCATCTCCCCTGCCCTAGGTTTCTATCAGGGAAGGGAAGAGCCTGAACATTCTGTTTTCTAGGCATTTCCTCCAAGATTTCAACATCAGAAGACACAGATTAGAAAATTATATAAAACAGGCAAAGTCAAAGTGTAAAATGAAGCCATCATACCTACTAAAACAAGGTTGCCTTTTTCTTATATTCTTAAACAGGAATGAATGGAGGCAAGCACCAAGTGACATGTAGAGCTGACTCACGTCACTAACCATAACCAGCAAAGGACAAAAATCCACCAGGTACATCACTCACAAAACATTTGTAAATTGTGCAGAAGGAGAAGCAAATTCAATTCCCACCCAGTAATGTTGGTGATCCAAGCCTGAGGATTAAGAAGTAGATACCACAAATTAAAAAGTAATTTTTGATTGTGATATACTGAATATTTAATATGGCTCTCCTAGCTATAGTCCTTGTGACTCCCACCAGATGACTAGGTGGGACTAGGCAAATGTGAGGTGCTTGTGGCCCACCAAGGGTATTGGACAGCTTGCTAATAATGTAAATAAGGTACACGGCACCCTTGTTGGATAGAACTATGGAAATAAGGTGCATGAAACCCTAATATAGGGATTGGTCAGTTTTGCCATCCTTCTAGGCTTAAAATAAACCAACCCAGAGGACAAAAAGGGGCGGACATCACTACCATCAGGAGAGAAAAGCCGGGAGTGGAGTACAACCTTGAACCAGAGATCCCTGCTCTGAGATGGCAGCAGGAGAAGCAACAGAACCAAAACAATGGCATGAGACAGAGTGGCAGACTTCCCGGCCCACAGAGCAAAGAACCTGAGTGCCTTTAAGCAGGAGGCTTGCCATCAGAGTAGGGTGCCTCTCTGGGCACCTATCAGCAAAGCTAAAAGAGCTCTGTAACACTGGACTGAGCAGAGCAGAAGCCAAATAATCCAATTAAAAAATGAGCAGAAGACATGAATAGACACTTCACCAAAGAGGATATTCAGCGGGTCAACAAACACATGAAGAAATGCTCATGATCATTAGCCATTGTTGTTGTTGTTGTTGTTATGTGCCGTCGAGTCGGCCCCGACTCATAGCGACCCCTCCTTGGGTTTCCGAGGCAGTATCACTACGGAAGTAGGATTGCCCAACCTTCCTTCCGAGGAGTGGCTGGTGGGTTTGAACCGCCAGCCGTCTGGTTAGCAGGCAAGTGTCTTAGCCACTATGCTACCATTAGCCATTAGACAAATGCAAATCAAAACAACAATGAGACTCCATCTGGCCCCAGCACTAATACCAAAGTTCAACAAGACAGGAAATAACAAATGCTGGCAAGTATGTGGAGAGACTCAGACTTTCATACACTACTGGTGGGACTGTAAAATGATACAACCACTGTGGAAAGCAGTATGGGATTCCTTAGAAAGTTGGAATAAGAAATACCATTTGACCCAGCCATTCCATTACTAGGTATACATCCTAAAGAAGTGAGAGCCAGGACCAGAACAGACATGTGCACATCCATGTTCATAGCAGCACTATTTACAATAGTAAAAAGATGGAAACAACCTAGGTGACCATCAACAGAAGAATGGCTAACCAAACTATGGTACATTCACAAAATGGAATAAGATCCAACACTGAAGAATAATGTAGAATCTGCAAAACACTGCATAACGTGGATGAACTTGGAGGGCATTATGCTGAGTAAAGTAAGTCAGTCACAGAAGGACAAACACTGTATTAGTTCATTATTGTAAAAAGCCAAGGAAAAGTTTATATATGGAAGAAAACTTTCTTTGTTGGTTACCAGAGGTGGGAGGGGAGAGGAGGGAACACTGCAAAAAAAAATAAAAAAGAAAGAAAATGCACTGACCCATGTCACTTTAATTTTGTGTATTTCACAGTATATAAATTATATTTCAATAAAGTGAATTTCAAAAAAAAAAGAGAGAGCTTTGTAACACTGGACTGAGCAGGGCAGAGGCCAAAGCCAGAGAAAAGCATAACAATAGCAAGGCACAGTGGAGAAGCAGTTCTTTGATCGAAGCACTGTATCCTGATTGCTTCTGATCTTGAATTGTAACCTGTTACTTCCCTGATAAACCCCGTAATTGTGAGTTCTAGCAGGCCACTGCAACAAATCATCAAATCCGGCAGAGAAGGTTGGGCAATCCTACTTCCGTAGTGATACTGCCTCGGAAACCCAAGGAGGGGTCGCTATGAGTCAGGGCTGACTTGATGGCACATAACAACAACAACAGCAGCAGAGAAGTATAGAGTGTCATAGAAAGGAATGGCTGGTGTCAGAACTGGCATAAAGGTTTGGAGGGTGGCGGCATGTCTGGCCTCTGCCTCACAGAAATCAGCACTGGGCTTATGCTGTAGATGCTGATGCTTTCTCCCTCTCGTGAAGTTAGAGGAGGTCGGAGAACACTGCCTCCACGGCCTTTTTGCATTAACAAAGTCCTAATTCATAATAATAGCAGTTTCTAAAGTTGTATCACCATCACTACATCATTCTACCACTAGCCCATGACTGAGCATGCTTATAAACGTTTCCTAGCCCCAAACACCAAGCATCCATCATTCAGTGGCCCATTCCTCTCACCTGGTTCACATCTTCATGCAGACCTGGTTCATGCTCATCATACTTACCTGCTTCACACCCATGCTCACCTGGTTCCTGCCTACCACACGCACACACACACACATACACAGGTACATGGGGCAGACACACATGCAGACATACTGATGCACATTCACACATGACACACAGACTTTGATAGTAGAAATGAGCATTAGGGGGTACAGGGGAGCATCAGGGGGCCAAGCACCCAGTGAAGAGCATCACCTGATGTGCACGCTGAAGCTCAGCAGCCATGGCTTTGAGGTTCTCAACATTCTTAGTGCTCATTTCAATCCTTAGATTGTCCTTTGTGCCCTGAAGCTCTTCATCATGCTTCAGTTTAAGTTTCTCTAGTTCCTGGGTCAGAACCATTTGGTGAAAGGAATCCTTTTTCTGCAGCTGCTCCTCAAGGTCCACTCGCAGCTGTTTTAGAGCTTGCCTGTGCTCATCTCGTAGGGTCTGGATCTCAGACAGGTAGCAGGATTTCACGGAGTCCAGGTTCAAAAGATGTTTCCTCTCTAGGGTGCTGAGTTCTGTGGCATGTCTGGTCTGCAGTTCAGCCACGCGGGTCTGCACAAGTGCCTGTTGCTCACTCTCCAGTGTAGCCTTCAATGCACCCATCTCAGCCTGATGCTCAGTCTGCAGCTCAGCTGTCAGGGACACAATGTGCTGCCGGTGACTATCTTGGAGAAGCTGGAGCTCACCAGCATGCTTCTCCCGGAGTGCCTGCAGGGCAGCATCATGCTCTGTAGCAAACTTCTCCATTATCTCTTTACGTTCTTCCAGAAACCTGAGGTGATACCCAAAGAAAACAGACAGCAAACGTGGTCTCATAAAACCTAATCTCACTCTGAAACACACAATCACACTTCCAAAAGGAAATATTACTTCTAATGCTAAAATCATCAACTCTTGACGTTAATTTTTTTTCACTCTTTCTCCCTCTGCCACAAAATTGTTCAAGATCTCATCACCAGAAATACATGAGAGGATTAAGGATCACATGAAACCAGAGAGCTCAGAGGTCAAAGGCCAGAGCCACAGGCATCCCAAGGTGATAGACTGAAGGGCTACCACTGGAAGAAAATGGCATCTGCAAGGAAAACCGCTTACACATTTCCTACAAAAAAAAAAAAAAAAAGCAGATGGGACAGATTCCTACCTTGGGCCACACAACCAGCTGACCCAGTCACTACACTGAAAGGAAGCTAAGTAATCTCCGTACTTAACCAAGAAAAGCACAGCAACTTTACTTATGGGAGCCCAAAGGATCACAAGATTACTTGAAAGATGTGAGGAAAAGGTCTGTGTTGTGATTTAAAGTTCATGAATTAAAAGCACTGAGTGGCAAAAATAGAGAACAAACTGGAAGACAGCCTTTCAATTAAAGCACCTGACATACCATCAAAGATAGGGTAACAGCCTGGAACTTTGGAAACATTGACTTACAGCCATTCTCTACTTGGCACACATTATAATTATTGACTTGCTTTTTAACTTTCATATGAGTAATAATACATGAGTTTTTTTTTTTTTTAAGTGTGCTAACTCTCCAGTAGATACAATGAAAGTGTTTCACATGGACCATGACCCTCTGAGGTTCTAGTACCTTGTTCACAAGTGAGTAAGCTAAGGGTCAGTGAGCTAAAACATGGACTCAAGTTCTCTGATCCCAGAGTGGAAGCTCAAAAGCACCACTGGTGATAATGGGAGAGAAGCTGAGCTCATAGAAAATGTAAGAAGATGATGACCAAAAGGTTCAATGGCTCCAAGACCCAAGGACACCTCAGGCCATCACAGCCCAGAGCTGAGGTTTATGCTAAATGGTCAACATCAAAAAAGAAGAAGCAGATCATGTTCTAAATCTACTTACAAATTTAGGGAAGTATATATGTATATTAAGGGAAACCAAAACCTACTCCTATCACATCAATTCTGACTCACAATGATCCCCACTGGGTCTCCAAAGGCTGTAAATCTTTACAGAAGTAGACTGCCTCATCTTCCTTCTGCAGGGCAGCTGGTAGGTTTGAACTGCCAACCTTCTGGTTAGCTGTCAAATGCCTTTGGCACTGTGCCACCAGAACTCCTTTTATACTAAGGAACGTAAGGGTGTATTGTAGAAAAATTACATAAGGTTTAAAAACACTCATGTTGAGAAACTGCATGTCCTTCTGATAGCAAATATACAAGGTTTAAGGCTATTCTTCTAAAATTTTTAAACACAAGAAAGGATATAAAGGTGTACAGAGTCCTGAACTTAACACTTTCAAGGATAAGAAGCCCTGAAAGCATTCAAACACTGCAACCTCTCCTGGTTCCCGAGCACTGAGCTCATCGTATTAGGATCTTAGGGGGAACACCCACCAGCTAGGAGTCCATGCATTATACCCTGCTCCCTTCCCCCCAGCCCTTCATAGTATGACTTCCCCAAGGGTTACCTCACCTCTTTGGCTGGGCTTCCCAAGGCTCACATGGGGACCCAGAACACTTTTCCCATCAAGCACAGAGCTCTGAGCTACCACCCACCTATTCTGGGCCAGCATCAGCTGGAGGGTACAGTCCTCCTTCAGGCGCAGCATGGTGAGCTCACAGGCCTCAGCCACAGGACCACACTGGCTGCACCGCAGAGGTTCATCCCCAGCTGCCCCAAGCTCCAGCTGCTGTAGGCGGTCCTGCTGCTCTGCCAGAGACCTCGCCAGCTCCAAGATCTGGGACGTCTGCTCACCCTGACGCTGCCTCATTTCAGCCTCTCGAAGCTCAAACTTATCTATTATTGCCTGCTTCTCAGACTCAGCTTTTTCTCTCAATTCAAGGAGCATAAGTGTTAATTTCTCTTCAGCTTTTCTCTTTAGGTCTTCTTGTGTAACTTTCCACTCTTCTTCTTTTTCTTTGAATTCCTGTTTCATCAATTGAATATTCTCCTTAGTTTTCCTTACTTCTTCCTGGTGATCTTCAATTAAATTATTTTTTGCCTGCAGACAACATAATTATATTTAAGAGTATTAAAGGGAAAAGTTATTGGCAGCAATGACTTAAATCCACCAATGAAGACAGGGATACTTCCACAGCATATAGATATCATGTTGGCTAGAGCACTGGGAACGTTTCTTTTGTTGACAGGAATAGAAGAAATCTGTTGTTTTCTTCCACTGAGTCACTTCCAATTCATACCAACCTTATATAACAGAGTAAAACTCCCCCAATGGTTTCCTAGGCTATAAACATTTTGGGAGCTGACAGGCCCTTTTTCCAACAGAGCCACTGGTGAGTTCAAACCACAAACCTTTTTGTTAGCAGTTCAGCACTTAACCACAGCACCACCAGGGCTCATAGAAGGAACCAAAAAATAACAAATTTAAAACTATTTGCTTAAGTGAAATGCAACCCACACCCTCGCACTTAGAACCAGCTCTTCTTTATTTCTGGAGTTGGCAGTCCTGGAATCCACTGGCAAAAGCTAACTGAAAACATACACCCATGAGCTAAGCCAACACAATACGGACTGTAGGTATTCATTGCTGTGAACAGGATCAGTAACAGGAAAATCCAGACATTCAGGGGTCTTCTTTCCTGCCCAAGGAATGCTGATGATGTCAAACTCTCAAAGAACACTCAAATGCTACTGGGAGATGTGCTCCTGTAAAGTCTTTAAGCCTGAGAGCAAGACCATCTGTGCCATGCAGATAAAATTCCTACAATCTTACCTCTTTGAACCAGAGGAGGCAGGAAGTGAGAAGCGCCCAGTGTCATGGATTGAATTGTGTCCCCAAAAAATATGTGTCAACTTGGCTAAGCCATGATTCCCAACTATGTGTGGCTGCCCTCTATTTTGTGATCTGATGTAATTATCTTCCATTTTGTGTATGGCAGAGGAAGGAAGATTGCCATTGAGTCAGATCCAACTCATAGTGACCCCTCCTTGGGTTTCTGAGATAGTATCACTATGTAAGTAGATTGCCCAACCTTCCTTCGGAGGAGTGGCTGGTGGGTTTGAACCACCAACCTTCTGGTTAACAGTCAAATGCCTTAGGCACTACACCACCAGAGTTCCTCCTTTTGTGATATGTATCATAAATCCTAACCTCTCTGTTAATGAAGCACCGTTAGGGTGGGTTATATCTTGAGTCACACCCTTAGAGTGCTTGACTCAAGTCTTACCCTTAGTCAGGTACTCAAGTCACACTCTTATTCAAGGCACACCCCTGCTTGAGTCACACTTTTCATCTTACAAGAAATAAAAAAAAAGACAAAAGCGAGCAGAGAGAAGGAACCTCAGTACCATGAGAAAAAAAAAAAAAAAGACCCAGGAGTGGAATGAATCCTTTAGACTTGGAGTACCTGTGTTAAGAATCTCCTAGACCCAGGGGAAGAATGACACCAAGATACATGCAGATCTCGAAGGAACACCAGGCCCACAGATATTAAAAGGAGACAAGGACCTTCCCCTAGAAACAACAGAGAGAGAGCCTTCCCCTAGATTTAGTGCCCTGGTTTCAGACTTCTAGCCCTCTAAACCGTGAGAGAATAAATGTCTGTTTGTTAAAGCCATCCACTTGTATTTCTATTTCAGCAGCACTAAATAACTAAGACACCCAGTAAGGACAGAACCAAGAGAAGAGAGTTCTGTGAATAAACCCTGTCCAAATCTCAGACTGACCAACAATCCATATAGATTCCAAAAGCAGGACAGCTAAGGCAAAAGAACTAAACTAACATTTTACTGAGATGGAATGTGGGTCTGTATTCAGCCAAGTTAACTACTTACTGAAACAAAACATCAGCACCCTTTGGAGAAACATAACAGAATAAAGCCTCCACAATGTATCACACACCATATCCAGGAGATGGCACACAACACACTCTACACAGATGGTGACACTTGGACACAGGTACACAATGACAGCTGGGGGTGTGCGGGATAGTGAGAGCAAATGTGGAAAAGACTTGCCATCTCCATGTGCCTTGTTGCGAGCAGGGCCTAGTGCATGGTCCAGCGCAGGGCTCTGCTCTTTATACAGCCAATAAATTCACCAAGGGTCACGAAACCACAACGGAAATGACAGTGGGGCTCACCTGACCCTACATGAAAAGAGCATCTCTCCAGGAGGAGTCATACTTACTTTCACCACATCCTCTCTCAAATGGATTTCATGCTGCAACTTCTCATTTAAATTTCTATTTTCTATTTTTAAGAGTTCCATTTCTTCCTTTAGCTCAGTTTGAAGAAGTGAAAGCTTAACCTTATACTCATTTTCCAAGGCCAAGACCCTCGCCGCCACCTCTGTTTCCACCTCTGAGGCCATTTCCTGCGTACACTGGAGACGCATCCGTGTGAGCTCTGCAGAGAGGTGGGGAGAACAGTCATTGCGGGATGGACACCACTGAGACCCCCAGCATTGCTAGCCTTGTTATTACTGGTGAGTGCTGTAAGTCGATTTCAACTCATAGGGACCCTATAGGACAGAGTTGAACTGTCCCATAGGTTTTTTTCTAGGCTATAATCTTTACAGGAGCAGACTGCCAGGTCTCTCTCTCTCTCTCTCTCTGGTAGTGGCTAGTTGTTTGAACTACCAACCTTTTGGCTGCTGGGTTAACCACCCAAGCACTTAACCACTGTACCACCAGGACTCTTTAATGGTAGCCTTCGGTGACTTTAAATCAAATCAATGACATTAAATCAATGATAGGGACCCAAGCCCTCTCCATAAAACATTCCCTGCAGGCCTGGAGCTAGAAATGGAAGCCAGGGAGCTAGAGGACCAGGGCAAGCTGGGGGTCATGAGGACACACCTTGGACATGCTCTCCTAAGAGTGCAGCCCGGAGCCGGTCAAGCTCCAGGCACTGCTCCCTCTTCCACACTTGGGTCTCAGCGAGGTGCTTGTCTGCAAGGTCCATCTTGACTTTCATCACTTCCTCCTCATGTTGAATTTCAAGAGAGGACTTCAGCACTTCTAACTCACGCCTGTGCTTTTCTTCCAGCTGTGCTTGCAGATGTATCAGGCTCTCCTGTGGAAGCACAGAGAACATCCTGCCGAGCTGTTTCTCCTTGTTAGCAGAGACACATCTCAACATACTTCCTCTGAAAGCTGTATATGGCCACACATCCAGTGTATGCCAGCACCTGCGACAGCCATCAGCTTTCAGGGGAGAACGTTACTGCTGGTAGCACTGCTTTCAGGGAGGGAGAGACTTGATCTGGAGGGGCTAGAATGGGACAGACCACAGGACAGTAGGCCCCATAGTGTGAAGACAGAACAACCGTCCTAATTGTTATGTCCAGAGTGATGCTTTCATTGAGGCCCCATCCCCCAAAAGAGTCCACAGTTATACGTTCATCAAGGCCATGCTGCCGTATCCACGCTTTGGCACAGCGCTCTTTCCCCTCACTCCCCAGTGACCTGGTGATATTCCCACATGATGATCCCGAGCTTACATCTCAAGCTTGGGATCCCTCCCACACTTGGGCTCCTATGTTTACAGCCCACTCTGTATCTCACCAGTGTGCCAAGCCAGCATCCAGGACAGAACCACAACACACAGGCTATATCTGTACCCTCAGGCCATGGCACTCCCACCCTCTCCACAGTCCCACATGAGGACTCCTTAATCTCCTCAAACCATGCTCAGCCTGTACCCAGCTCACCATGCCTCCTTGTCAGACAGCGTCTGGTCACTTTCAACAAAGTCATACACAAAGATAGGGCTCCAAGCAGCCCCAGTTCAGCTATGTCATATACCCACCCTCCTCCCTCTACCATGCCCTTGGCTGGCCTGGTAACTATGGAATTAACCTGTATGAGCACCTGTGCAGGGAGTGGAAGAGAAACACAGCCATGCTATCTATGCCCTAGATGCCTGCCCTGGAAATCCATTAAGGATGCTCCCCAAAGACATCTGCATGGACACCCACCATGGGCACTTGCCAGGGACATCCATGTAGGTGCCCCCCATAGACATCTACTCTTCCCAATGTCTTTGTAACTCCCACCAAATGACTAGGTGTTACAAGACAAATGTGAGGTGCTTGTGGCCCACCAAGGAGTCTGGATAGTTTGCTAATTAATGATCTACACAAGATACACGGTACCCTCGTGGGGGTGATACCATGCAAATAATGTATATAGAACCCTAACGTGGGTATCTGTCAGTTTTGCCATCCCACTAGGCTTAAACTAAGAAGCTCTGGTGGTTCAAACCCACTATCTGCTCCTCAGAAAAAAGGTTGGGCAGTAAAGATTCATAGCACTGGACAGCCAATGGGGGTCACTATGAGTCAGAATTGACTCAAAGGCAGTGAGTTTGGCTTTGCTTTTAGAGGCTTAAAATGAGCCATCCAAGGTGGAAAAGAAGGAATCTCACTACCATGAAGAAAGAAGAGCCAGCTGGACCATTGTTATGGACAACATTAAGCTCAATTAGCATACCATACTACACAAAAACTTTGTTCTACATCCTATTTTGGTGAGTAGCAACTAAGATCTTAAAAGCTTGCTAGCAGCCATCTAAAATGCAAACAATTGGTCTCTCCTCCTCTGCAGCAAAGAAGAATGAAGAAAATCAAAGACATGATTGAAAACAGTCTAAGGGACTAGTAGACCATAGGAACCTCAGCCTACATGATCTTGAGACCAGAAGAACTAGATGGCGCCTAGCTACCACTATCAACTACTTACAAAGAAATCAGACTAGGAGATCCTGGATTGAGAGATAAAAATGTGGACAAAACCAAAAAAAAAAAAAAAAGGCCAGGCTGACTGATCTGACAGACTGATAAAATCTCTGAAACTTGACTGCTAACCAGAAGGCTGGAGGTTAAAACCACCAGCCACACCTCTGAAGGAAGGTTGGGCAATCTACTTCCACAGTGATACTGCCTTGGAAACCCAAGAAGGGGTTGCTATTAGTCAGGTCTGACCCCACGGCACATAACAATGACAACATGACCCCTAGTATCCTTTGAGCTTAGAATTGAACTCACTCCTGTGGCATCCAGCCAAACAACAGACGAGCCTACAAGGTGAAAAACTGAAAAACTGTATCAGGCAGGTACACTCCTTAGAAGAATCAACCATGGGAAATCAGAAGGGCAGCATTTGTATAAGAGGTAGCTCAGAGAACAGGAATGCACAGGAAAGAAGGACATAAGGAAAAGGTAACCACAGGGAAGAAGTGGGAAGAGACCTGTTACATTATGAGGATTGCAGTCAGTGTCATGAAACAAAATACAAATGAACTGTTGAATGGAAGACAAATTTGCTTTGAAAACTTTCACTCAAATCACAATAATAAAATAAATTATACAATGATCTTGAAGAAAGAAAGAAAAGAGTCAAGAGTAGAGCACAGCTTTTGGACCTGGGATCCCTGTGCTAAACCTCTTCAATCCAGGAATCAGAGTTGTTACAGTAGAGACGGTGAGAAGCAGTGGCAGAGAAACAGCAGCACAGGCAGCAGAGGCAGAAGAACCAAGGGAATGGCACAAGACAATGCAGTGGACTTCCTAGCCCACGGAGCCAAAAAGCTGAGTGCATTCAGGCAGGAGGCTCGTTGCTGCAGTGGGGTGCCTCTGGGCACTTACTGATAGAGCTAGGCTCACCAAGCCAAGGAGTAAGAAAGCTGAGTACCTTCACACAACAGGCCTACTTGGTGGAGTGGGGTGCATTTGGGCACTTATCAGCGAAGCTAAAAGAGCTTTGTAACACTTGTGTGAGCAAAATAGAGGCCAAGGGGCTGTGGGGCCAAGAGGCCAAGAGTCAGAGAGAGGTATGCCCAAGGGCTCAGCTGAGGGGAAGCTGTCCTGATTAAAGAACTGTATCCTGATCAATATCAGCAAATGTAACACACATGCTAGACTTTTGACTAAATATATATACAGTCTACCATTTTTACCACCCTTCCTTCCTGAAATACAAATAAAATAAGAAAAAAATAAATTTATAAACCTCTGAGGATAAGAGAGAACATCAATGAACCAACATCCACCAATTTGTGGAGGAAAGGGGCACAAGGAGGAGTGTGGCCAGCCTGGACAGTACCAGGTGGCAAAATATGGCCACAGAGGAGAGGTGAGAGGCAGTCTGCTTGTCTGAAGCCCAGAGGGTATACTACTGCTATTTTCTGGAAGACAGAGAATTATGTCATTGCTTCCTTTAAACATTTGGTAGTGTGCACCAGTGAAATTATCTGGGCCTAGAAATTTTTATGGGGGAGGGTTTTTTTTGTTTTTTTGTTTTTTTTTAATTTTGATTTGGGTGAAGATTTATAGAGCAAATTCACTTTCCACACATCAATTCACATATACTTTGTCTCATGTCATTGACCACAGTTTACCACAATGCAACAGCTCCCTTTCCACTTCCTCCCCATAGTTA